GTACACGGTCGTCGAGACGATGAACCCCTTGGCACAGGGCCAGTCTTTTCCCTATCCCCCCCCCCCCCCCCACTCCGCTCATCCCAACAGATATGATGCCGGATGCACCAACTATATAGGGAACTTGAAACTTCCGTCAGCATGAATTTTCAAAAACGTTTAGGTCGAATAATAAGAATGGAATAACTAAAAATTAATATGAAGGCGAAGTATAATTAGAGCAAATTACTATTGACGCAAACTTGTTTTTCCATCAGCATCAGATATGGCTGAAAAACGCACTGCCACTTTATTATTACCCTCAAAGCAGGAAAATACAGTGAGAACCCCATATGCGGATGTAATTGGTGTAGCAAGAGTGTCCCTAAGTTGAAATTCCCCTAAGTGGAGTCTCATTTTCCCTTAGACTTACATTATATAATTTTCAATTGGTGTTTTATGTACAAAATACTCACCATAATTCCATGAAAATGAAAATTGTCTCCCAATTTAAGCTGATTCCAATAAATATACAGTATTTCAACACTGGTGAGAGAAATGCCCAAGAACTTTTCTTACACCAATTTTGGGGTTGGAGATATCTGTTTCTTGTAATTTGGCCTGAAATGTATTTGAAATTTTATAACAAAATGTACCTATGTTGAGTCAGTGCCCTCATGTTTAGCCCTTTTTTATCATTTTTTTATGATAAAATAAGTGTCCTCAATTCAAATTGTCCGCAGGTCGAGGTGTCCGCATGTGGGGGTCTCACTGTACATCACAGCAGACTCCACATATATAAACGCACAAAAAATTCACCAATTTTTATAATCACGATCCATAGTCAAAGATTACAATTAGAATCTTCAAGTGGAATTTCACGAAATTTCTTGGCAAAAAAAAATGAAACCAGAGGGCCAGTCGTCTTTTGATTCCCTCTCCGCGGATGCACCAACTATAGGACACTTGAAACTTCCGTCGGCACGAATTTTCAAAACGTTCATGTCAAATAATAAGAACTGAACAACTAAAAATTAATATTAACGTGAACTATAATTGACGCAAATTACTATTCACGCGAACTTTTTTTTCCATCAGCATCAGATATGGCTGAAAAACGCACTGCCACTTTATTATTACCCTCACGGAAGGAAAAATGCCACAGACACCACATAAATGAATAACGCACAAAAATTCACCAATTTTAAAAATCACGATTGATAGTCAAAATTTTCAATTAGAATTTCACCGACATTTCTTGACAAAAAAAATTGACACCAGAGGGCCAGTAGTCTTTTTATTCCCTTTCCAGAAGCACCAAAAGGAAACTTGAAACTTCCATCAGCATGAATTTTCAGAAACGTTCATGTGAGAGATTTGAACAAATAAGAAAATTCCTATTAACGCCAACTATCATCAACGCAAATTACTATTCACGCGAAGTTTTTTCCATCAGTATCATCAGCAGAATGGCTGAAAATAGCTCTGCCACTTTATTATTGCCCATCCATACTCCATAGCAGGAAAATACGCAACAGACACCTCAGTTCCGGTTTTATATATAAACGCACACAAAAATTCACCAGTTTTTAAAATCTCGATCAATAGTCAACAATTGGAATTAAAATCTTCAAGTAGGATTTTACGAAATTTATCGTCAATAAAATTGACATTCAATTTTATTCAGTCGTCTTTTCCCTCTCCCTCGCTCATCCCAATAGATATGCTGCTGGATGCCCTAACTATTATGATTAATAGTTAGTGCATCATTCATTATTCAAAATACAGAATAAGATATGCTTTCAACATTTTCGTGAACCCTGATGCTATAACTTTAGAAAGTCGACTCATTTGAATGTACTGTAAGATCTATTTCATAAATTTGGTCATATTAAACACAACGTGGTGTGAACCGGATCTAGAAACCGTTTTTTGGCATATACTGTAATATAAGCGAATATTTTCTGAACTACACCGATATAAATTTCCTGGAAACGGACGAAATTTAAAAAAAGGCCATGATATAGGCTTTCACACGAGACATTGAAAATCAAACATATTGCTTTATTGTTGAAAATGGTATTTTCGATAACCGCGTTTTCTTCGTCGTACAAGAAACTGAAAACCCTATACAGAGTACCGGAAACTTATTGTTTCTTGTTCATTGTCAAAACCATAGTCTATTAATGAATATCCTATACATATACACAGAAAGAAAGAAAACGCTTGTTTGACGATGCATTTATTTTTTTCGCGCATGAAGATTTTTGTTCTTTGCGAACAAGCGAAAGAAGCATCCTTCACAATGTATAAATATACAGCAGTATAGACAAGAACTTCGACATTTTTGTAAGTTTCTTACTCCAGCACTCTAGCGTGGAAGCAACAGCTGCTGCTTCTGTTTCTCCTCTAGACCCGAAGGAAGACAATTTTAAGCCCAGCATTTTGTAGGATTACGGTGTATATATATATTTTATTATCAATGTCATTCGTCAGCGGAAAACGGCAGAGCTTCTCGGTAACTTAATTGTCCTACAACTTACATATACTCGTATATGCTGCAAGATTTTTAAAACATTGAGATCCACTATATATGTAAATGAATCGAGAAAGTGTACGACATCGTGCTGCAAAAGAATCAAATGCAAGACAAAAAATGTAACTAGCAGATATTCGGAGACAAAGAAACATAAAGAAATTCGAGGACAGGAAATACTGTGTGTACAAGTGTAATACTCGTATAATAATGCGTATACGACGAGGTTTGTTTCATAAGTCTTGCGACTATATTTCAAATAGATCCGACACGGTTTGGGCAATTACAATTTTTCTTACTCAAGTATAACCTCGTCAAGCGGTAACACACTTCAGTGCTATTCAACATATACTCTCCGCCAATTTCAATGCACTTTTTCATGCGACAAATCCAACGATTAAAACAGGGGCGAAAATCCAGTTCAGAATCAAGTATATGCGCCAGCTGCATCAGCAGGAAATAAAAGGGAATCAAAAATCTAAATGCGGAGCGGATTTCGTACTGAGATTTACGTAGAATGTGCAGTTCGCAGTAGAAATCCAAACTGGGTAATGCAGCGCGTATATACTGCCACATTTCGTACGAATAATAGATAATGTATCGAAAAAAGATGGAAACGCCCTCTGAAGTATTTTGAGGCATAGATATAGACGATAGACTTACGGAGAACTATGCGAATGACCCCCAGTGTGAAGTCCAAGACCTTGGTCGTGAAAACCACCCACCGCAAGGGGTTCACCCTCAGCAGATAGTCCGTCTATTTTTAACACGGCCCTGTCCGATGCATTCTCCTCCGCGGTTGGTGCTCTATTCCTCGCGATACCGGCCAACAGGTCTTCGTCTCTCCGACACCTCGCTCTTGCCCGACTCCCGAGACAGAATACATAGCTTCATCCTTCAGAAACATCATTTCTCACTATATACAAGTGATGGATTCCTTGCCTTCGTAGCCTCGTCGGTTCGTTCATCGCATTATCTTCCGCTCTATCCTGCTGTAACAGACACAATGAGTCAATGAACTCTTCAAGTATTATTGCGAAAGAATAAGGGGAGTGGCTGAGCAAGTGTACATTCAATCCAGTACGGTACAGCGCAAAGCCCCTTACACTTTTCGAATTGTTCAACAGAACGAAGGATTCCCTACGGCAACTTATCCATGCAGACAATAAGTTAATCCACGATCATGGTCCACATTTTTTAATTTCCAAACTGCGTTGTGCAAGATTTTCAGGCCAACGTATTTCTGCAAGATCAGCGTTTGAATAGAAGAAGGTACAGTAAATGAGAGTAGGTGCGATTGTTCGTCAATCGTTCCGGGGAATTCCTGAAATTTTTGGGCATCGAATTTACTGTACAGTATCTGCATTCTGATAATGGGTACATAGGAAAAAGCGCAGATATAATTGATTAGTCTTGCACGAAATCATGCAGCAGAAATGTGTCTGTCGTCGAATTCGATTTATACCTGAATGAATTATGAAGGGTCTGAACCATGCGGGCACGAGAAAAGACTGCATATATCGGGTTTCCAAAACTTTTTTTTTAAATAAAATTATATCTCTTAAACAAAGAGAGAATCGACCCCTTTCCACTTCCGAAGGTTCATCACGGGACAGGGACAAGGCTAGCAATTTAAATTCTAAAAAAGCTTGGCATTCGGAAAATTGAAGTTCCCGACCTGGAACGCAACCAACGTTCGTACATCAATCACGGAAAAAATACCTTCTTTTTCACCCCTGCCAATAATGGCAGAGAACATTCCGGACAGGACACGGGCATTCAGACATCCAAAGAAAAGAACAATACTGTAGAACTTATTCATCAAGATCTAAACTTTTCACAGCGGAAACTACTCCGTCACAAAAGACAAATGCGTATTCCACAGCGAATAATTTGAGTGGAGAGGCAGAATATTTAGCCGTGATCATCAACAGCCCAGATTGAACAGATACGCGAGTTCGAAACTCAATAAGAAGTACTGTAATAACTGTACAGCTATGAAAATAAAATTCATAGTGCTTGAACTAACAACTCCGGTATATTCTCATGTGTACTCCTGCTTCCGGTAGATTAATGCAGATTTGATTCATCCAACAAGGAAACACAGTGAAAATCCGATAAAATGTGATGCCTTCGATTATTAGCCCAAACCCCCAAAGGATTAAATATTGACTACCGAATCAGAAAAGCCAATCCAACAAAAACTGAGAAATCAATGGTTGAAATTTGAAAATTGTAAGAAATTTGGAAAATGCTCGGAAGACGATCGGATGGTTATGGTGGTGTAGTTTTAAAAATTATAGCCTCTTTCTACCATCGCATCTATAAAACCAGGATAATTAGGAGTTCCGTTTCACTGTCTTCCTTCCGTAATTGAACATACAGTGCGCATGGTACTTGAGTGAATACATAATGGACTGGTTAATTTAAAATTTAAAATACGAACGCCGGAAGAAAGGCGGTTTCCATCATGACTCACAAGGCATTAATTGAATACTTTTTATTGTCTCTTCGATCTCCGTTCATTTTTCCCGGTCGGAAAAAAAAGTTTCCAGAACAGAGAAAACGAATGCTCAGGACTGGAGTACAACCACGACGGAATGCAGCGAGCTCGGAATATAATCACACAAAAATCATTCCACTTCACTTCACCGCACAACCACACACGAACGCACCTAGGAAGACATCGACGAACACAGACACTGTGGGGACATCATACATCCGTACTTCGTTGCTTCACAATTTATTCGCTGCTCGTGAAACATCAGCTGATGCGTTTAGAAAAATGCTCCCATTTTTGTTTTGTATTCGTTTACCGAGAATATACGCCATTCGCGACAGGGATATTTGCAGAAGAAATTGGCTCGTCGATCACAGCCGCACAAAAGACCTTGAATGCATGAAATTCTCGACAACCCGATGTATCCGAATCTCCGTCACAAACCACCAATGCGATATGGTGAAAAATCAAAATTTTCCGACAGACTTCACATACCGACGATCTCCTTCAAAAGTGAACGGTGTAAGAAAATATTTGAAAAAAAAATCAAGGATTATTCACAATACTTGACGGGGAACACGAATAAACGCGTCGATGCACTTCTCCTAAACTGAAGAGAACAAAAATACAACCTCCAAAAATATAATAAATAAAGCAGAAGACCACCAGTGCCTGGAGGCAATCGTCTAAAGTAACTCCCGATCGTTCGACAACCCGAACAACCGATATCCAAGCTTTTCTCTGCTGAATGTACGTCGCACAACACACATTACAAAAAGGAATGTATATTAATGGTAAAAACGAGCTACGAATACTGCTGCGATCTTCAGCCGCGATATGAGACCACGGAATTCTAAAACCGAGAAAACGAAAGCAACAAAAAAGGAGCCTTCAACGTCCTTGTTGCTTTCCTTTGCCGGCCGGGTTCGATGAGGTCGGAACTGAGTTTCCCAGTCTGTGAGCGCATCTGACGAAGAACTCGCATCTAGGGTTGATTTCGAGGATGGCGAAAACATTTGCTTCAGGAGGCAATCGACGCTCACCTGAAGGAGTCAAATAAGAAGACAATTTCATACTACTCCATTCAAAAGATGAACACTTCATTTAAGAACGACAGCATTACACGGAGACCCTGTTCATCACATTCATCAAATTACACAGAAGTCCAAATACTCCAAGAGGGTCCATGGTATGAGTAAATTACATTGGTAAAATAAGAAATTGAAAGTTTTATTCATAAGGTGGTTCGAAGCGTAGGAAGCGTGAATCCTCCTATGAATAAAATGATTGATTTCGCTGATCTTGCAGATAAGTTTAGAACAGCCAGTAATTCTGAAATTTTGAGAAACAAAATTCAAACACAATTTAGGAGATAAATCGAGGAATATTTGTTTAAACGCGTAATTTCATCAGAATGTCGGCGGTCATTCAGTGAAGCATAGTCATGGGAATGCAGCACAGTATTTACATACTTAAGAAGTATTCAACAACAACAAAAATTCGAAATCACATCACTTGGGACTCGGCTGCGCAGGAAATTAATCTTCGGAAAGATACGTAACCGTAAGCTTCTGTTTCAAGTACTGTATAGCAAAAATTCAATCTCGATAATCTGCGCATTTCCTCGTGTCCACAATAAAGCCTACTTTCACTCGTCGCAACTCTTTCAATACTGTACAATGAATTGCTGTGAAGATTGCATTTGCAAAGAGAGAACACTATCTCAGTATCGAAAACCATGAAGGGCATAACTTCGGGACAACACCCGAACAGACTCGCCGGATCAGACAATTGAAGTTGCACAATGGTTCTGCGATGAAGATGATGCGCAAGAAACGATCACTCGTGCTGACCTCATGAGAACAATAGGCATTCAAGTTACATTCCTTTCCAAAAACCGGAAAACAAAGACACGGTGGTGAAAAATACGCCAAGGATTTTTTATGCCGATCGCGAAACTAAAACTCGACCGAGGGTTTCTCCACTTCGAACACTATTTCCCGGTGAGATGATTTTGATGAACACCTCAGGGGGGAAAAGAACGCCAAAACATTTCATCAATGCTAGATCTTCAACGAGATGATCTCATACCGGAAACTGGAAATGAGATACAGACTCGTGGCCACCATATGATACTTACATCACGTGGATCGAAGACCCTATTCAAGACATTCTCTGCTACTTCCACATCCAAATTTTGAAAATAAAAATTGCTTCGATATTCTTGTTCATAATTTATACGGGATCCTCGATGCTTACCTAAATTGCCACCACATTCAATGAGATAATGCGTGCGACGGGCTATGTCAGGATTCGCTGCAGCCAATAAGCACTTGACAGGGTACTCATTCGTCAAGTCACTCAACACTCGTCTTCGCCGACCATCTTGACGATCTCGAGCACAACGATTCAGGTCCAGCTTATTCATCACTGCTTCCAAAACCCTGAGATTTCATAAAAACACAACACGATAGAGTCAGCTCTTCTTCGGCTTCAGAAGTCAAGTAAGCGAAATGATCACTGCAAAGTAACCTTAAAAAGCCGATTCAAGAATACAGCATACAAAATTAACTCTGATACAACCATTCTCTGACATCATACAATCCTGCTTGACACGCTCACCACGATACACGAAAAACTATTTCGCTAATTTTAGACACATGATCACGATAAAAACGAAGATGCGCCGCATCATAATAAGTGACGGAATATTGTCACAGACAGATGAAGAAATACGAACAGATACTTCTCTGCATTTATTGTGATTAAAATCTATCGTTCTTCAAACCTCAGATTAAAATAGAATGATCTTTAATGATCCTGGGGAAACACGGTAATTTTACCAAAATCCGAAAAGAAAACCCAGCGATCCTCTCAGTTCAGTTCAGAAAAGACGAAAAAAGGCCCATGAATAAATTATTTCATTGTACAAAAAACGTGAACAAATCAAAACTTCGAGGATTTTCAACCAAAAAAACGAAGGAATTATAATACATATATATCCGAACTAGCTAGCATGATCTTTCGTCAGTTGAGAATATATAAAAATAACTCACGAATGAACAACGTGGCCCGCAGTAGATTCGCGAGTAACTCTCGTCGGCACAGGAGCACCTCCATTGATAGTTGCACCAATCGCCAACACCCTTCCTCCAAGATCTGGATGCTGATCTGACCCAGCTGGAGTCGCCAAGGTTTTATTGCCAGCTTTTCGATGAAGAAAACTGTCCCGCTGCCTTCTCATCACGTACATTAAACTTGGTGGAACCAAATCGATAACTTCGCCGAGTTTCACCATCTGCTGAAGTACGAGGCTACTTTTCGCTGCGGTCGCCATCTATAGAACCGAAAAGTATCATTCAGAAAATTCTTCAGCAACATGTAAAGCAATGTTCCTTACTTGAACTTCCATCACACCACTTTGGGCCAACTTGGGGGAAACGAATAAGTTCGGGGCCATCACGTGACAAATGCTGCTTAGGCTCATCCTATTGGCATCTTCCTCACCGGAGATGCCCTTCAATACTTTTAGTACGCAACGCAAACAGCACACATTTTCCACCGGAAGCAGCAACACCAGCAAATTCGCAGCACGAGTCATGTCGATTGCGGAGTGCAAATCTGGAAAAACAAAGAAGTGGTTAGAAAATCTCCACGCATTTGTTAACATTCAAAATTCAGTTTTGTACTTGTATTTACTGCAATTGATGCGAAAGCTGTTTTAAACCATTCAATTTGATGCCTAAAGAACCAAATTATTCAATGAGCATTCACGATGCCATGGATTCCGAGATGCACCTTGATCTTCAGCAACTCGAAATGTCAAGAATAATCGCAAATATGCAAATCGTGCGGCATTTTTATTCAGCTTGGGTTCATTTCCATGAGAAATCAGTCCGGCAAGAAGCTGACACTATGCAGCTTCAAAAAATAAGAAAGTTACTCGAAACATCTTCGAATTTAAACTACTCATCGCCAGATTCCTATCATTTTCTTGTTCGGAGCACGCATCGAAATTGTCAAGTTATAATAATCATATGCTCAACCAGATGATCATCATTCAAACGTGTAAATATTAATAAATTACCCCAGACACTGGGTTTTATCGCACGAGAACACTATATCGAAAACACTATAAATTGAAATTCGCAATCTTAATTATGCCCAACTCGTCAAGACACCCCTTTTACCTAGAACTTTGAGAAAGAGGTCCGTCAGTTCCGGTGGAATCAACGGTGTAGGCAAATCTCGCAAAAACATTTTGAAGAGAGAGGACAGCTCGTGAGGGCCGGCTTGACAGAGTCCGTTTTCTGCCTCGGCTGTATTAGAATACAGGTTTTTTTCCAAACACGTCTTCAGAGCATCCACTTTGCTCTGGTTGCCACTGACCCGCATTATACCTTCAGTTTGGTATCCGACTTGTTCGAGACACTTGATTATCTATGAGTGGAACACAAAAATAGTTTCCAAAATATATTACTGCGTCAAGAATAGTCATTCCTCACCTTCTGGAGAACAACTGGAACACACTCTTCGGACGAATCAAGGAGACCCCGTTCCCAGTCGCGTTCTACCAGAGTGAGTAGATCCAGTCCCCAAAGCTCTGATGACTTTTCATCTACGCAGGGAAGCACGCACTTCAGAGAACTACAAACATTTTTAGAATAATTTCAACTAGCATAGCAATTCAAGCAAATCAAAGACGAACTCTACTTTCAAAATCTACGAAGATATTAACCTAGGAGAGGAAGCAGTACTCAAGACGGTACAAAATATGAATATACAAAAATTGCCATGCGGTGGAAATGGCTCAATTAAAGTTACACACCATACGCGAAAATTATCACGTTAGCGATAAGGTTTGCCAACAGAAATTGCTGACAATTTCTGCAGTTAATAGTGTGCAATTGAGAGTCTTAAGACATGAATTTACTCAGCGCGGTATCTTTCTTGAATTCACGTAATTGAAGTGGATTTGTTGGAATCAGTAATTAAAATTTTAAAATCTGGAATATCAAACTTTATTCGCCTTATTTTCCACTGCACAGTAACTTTCAAGACATTCTGAAAATCTAAAATGTGCATCCAAGCACAAGCATACCTTTTTTCTTGACTTGCTTCCGCTTGGGAAATTTCGGATGTTTATGAGAAAATTTTACGCCATTGCGGTCGAAGATAGCTGTGAGTTCGAGAAAAGCAATGCGGCGCACAGTATTCACATCGATTGCACCAAGGTCGTCAATCCGCGTCAATCCCTCAGCTACATGATCAAGACTTGCTTCCTTCACAAAAACTTTCAATTTCAAAAAATTCAGAAAATGGAGAAAATTTAGGTGGAGCAAACCTGAAGAGCTACGTCGCGGAAGGACATTTCCAGGTCTCGTATATGGTTTTGGAAACTATGGGATGCATCACCACTCGACTGTACAGCTTCAGATTTGTTTCCCTCATGCTTGGGCCGAGGACGTTTATACATTGTTCCCTTCGGACTATACTTGAGAGACTCGATTCCTGTCGAAACAAAAATGAATCCCTGTAAATAAAATCGATACCCGAGGTTGGTGAAATTACTACTACAGAGTTTGCTTTGGTTGATACGTTGTGAAGACAAATATCCGCTTTGCTAATCTAGTGATCAGCATGAGTAGTACATACCTTCTTCTCCTGCTCCTCGAGCAACAATTCCACTAGCTGAATGTTTGCTCTTCTTCGGAAACAAATTCTTGGAAAACAGATGCGAATCATGGTTTTCTGAAAGCTTGCGTAACGGGTGATGAATGAGACGGAAACCCAAGTAAGGGTCAGGACCAAACGCAAAATCTCTGCAAAGAAAATAGTCTATAAAATTAACGCATTTCTTCCTCTGAGTAACATACACACCTTTCATCGTCGGCACGTGAACTGTGCTCAGCCGCATGAAGTTTTTCGTCAGTTAATGAACGAGGGCGAGTAGGGATATCCAACAGATTCTGCCAATGAGAGAACACTTTCAGGAACTCCGCTTGGAATGCTATAATTCGGAAATACCTCGGGGACGAAAATGGATCGAATGTGAGGTCTTGGTTCTTTCTTCTTTAAAGCCAATGTATCATTCAAAGTCGCAACGCGTTTTTTCACAGATGCCTGATAATGAGGCGGTAGCATTCCAACTGCTTCATCGACATCCTCTTCGGGGATCTGATTCCCACTCAGGAATGGTTCTATCACATGATCTAATCCTACGTCCCGAAACCAGTTCACTTCTTCGACCTCTGCCAAAACGAACAATTCGCATTATGCAGAAAACTGTCACGGTGAGAAAAAAAAAATTGAATGGTCACCTTCCAAATTGAAGCGTTCCTGCGTATTTAATGCTCCCGACTCCACAGGAAAATGAGATCCTGCTGTTTCCATATCGCACTTCCCCGGTGATAACGAGGTAAAGTACACCACTACCACTACGGTTTAAACATTCGGCGTCGTGAACTTGCAATATGAACAATAAAAAAATATTTTTGAACCTTACACAAGAAGACGAAAACAATTTTAGTACACACAGGTCATCCTACGTTAAACCATAAAAAAACTTGATAAAACCTGATGCGTCGGTTGAGAATAAACGTACCTATTGATTCCCAGCACCAATCCATGGAATTGAAATAAATGAATAAAATAGCAGCAAAATACGATTTCCATAAAACCTTACCCTATAGTTCCGAAACCTTGCATATCGGAACCATTCGTCCCAGATGGTGGGGGGCAAATTGGCTCTTATTCACAACCGTAGAACAGGTATTCCTCCAACGAGATCCACGAAAAATACTGTCAACCCAATAATGGCGCATTCACGCTGGCTCGGAATTAAACAACACGTCAAGATCGCCGTCGACCAAATAATAAGGCTAAAAATGTCATCATTACGTCAGTAACACATGAAGCATCAGCGATCGTCAGTCAACCATACACTTCACTTCCAATCGCTGGGTTGCGTCTACATTCACCAATGCCGCGCGCGTTCCAACGACCAATACGATACGCTTGACGCGACTGGAAAGCTTCATCCCGCGCTTCATACTGATGGGGAAAAGGCTTTCGCAAGGGAACTTCCGCACCTAAAAGTTAGATGCCGCTGATGGAAAGCATGTTGCTGCCAGTGCCCAGTGCCCAGTGCCAGCACCCCGAGCACCTCCGAAACTAAATCGATGATTATAATGCCGTCGTCAAACATTTGTTGGCGCTAATAGTTTTTTCATTCTCACCTGAAACACATGCGTCACTTCTAAACCTGAAGAGAATTCGCTGGAAATCATAATAAAAAGTGGGATATCCCTCTTACATAACAGGTCCTGTCCGAAGCATATGAGCACCCAACAACCATCAGCAGCAAATGTCTCATGAAAAATTACTGACTTCTCGCGGAAGAAAATTGAGGTCATACACTCACAATAACGTTGAAAAGTGCTCAGCAAACTGTTTCCAAGGTCTTTTTCAAATGCTCTATTCGCAGGAGTCCAACGAGTATAATCTATACGTCCAACATTGAGTCAAAACGTCGAGTTGCTATATTTGAAGTCATTACGAGCATGACGATACTGTATGATGCAGACGTGCTTGACCACCAGAAACGGAAACAAGTTCTTTGAATTGTACATCGCCCGTTTACAAATTTGCAACACTTCTCTAGCGCCATGCGATATTTTTGGAATTATATTCCCATTTTGATATTTTTATAATTCATTTTAGTTTTTCCCCTCTAAGATTTAAGGCAGCCGCACATTTCCGAGTAAAAATGTCGACATCGAAATCGAATGTCCTCCCGTTCGATGAGAAGAAACCCCATTGCTGTGAACGGCATTTAAGCTGTGGTGAACTCCTGAAAATCATTCTCACTCCGTCCGTTATTTTCGGAGTGGTTCCGAAAGCTTTGCTCGACTTCATCAGCAGTTCTACTGACGGTAAGAANGAAACCCCATTGCTGTGAACGGCATTTAAGCTGTGGTGAACTCCTGAAAATCATTCTCACTCCGTCCGTTATTTTCGGAGTGGTTCCGAAAGCTTTGCTCGACTTCATCAGCAGTTCTACTGACGGTAAGAAAGCTTTTCTGTCACGCACTGAGTGTTAAAATACTGTATAATAAATTCTAACGTTACAAAACACGCGATTATTCCCTCTTCGCGTGATCTAGCATTCCTGCTTCCGAAATAAAGGTCTTCGCATCGTTGAGATAAAGCCGAGATCTTATCTGTAACACGAATTTATTGAGGAGAGCTATAGATACGGTGAGCTATGTTCAAAAACAATGTAAAAATTGTTTCTCAGATACTTCTCGATCAAACTACAGTATTTATTTTTACGGAAGGCACTTTTTTATATGCACTAAAACATGCGGACTACTGAATAATGAAGAGCTCATTAAAAGTGTGCATATACAGGGTGTGCCAAAAAAACTGAAGCGATTTTTTACTTAAAATAGCTTGTTGACAAATTGAGCTGTGGCAATGCAAAAAACACCGAATGAAAGCTTGTTCAATTTTCTTTTATAAATGGTACACAGTTTTATGTCCCTAAGAGCCACGGAATGGTCACAAGAACCATTTGAATGAAAACTTCCCCACAAAAAACCATCTGTGGCACTTGGGACCATGAAACTACATACCATTGGAAAGAGAATTGAACAAGCTTCCACTTGGTGCTTATTTTTCATTGTTACAGCTCAATTTGTTACCAAGCTATTTCAAGTCAAAAATGGGTTTACTTTTTTTGGCCCACCCTGTATCTGAAAAGAAAAATAGGACTGCTAAATGCTATACAAAGTACAGTATACATATATACAGTAAAATATGACACAGTCGCTATATCAGCAGCAAGCAGCAGAGAATGAAAGCTCAGGGCTTCCATCTAAAATATTATGAACGTACAGTACAGTATTGTACCTTGTGGGAATCAATGCGCGTAAATATTATTTTTACATTTCATCTACTGCATCGCCCGTTGACAAAAAGCTGTCAACATTTATGAAATTCAAAGTTTCAATCAATTAAATGCCGCATATGAAAAAACACACGTACAGGATGGGTAGCAGCACCATATTACATCACGCAGTATGAATTATGATGGACACATCATATTCTATTTTCAAAGTAAGAATCCGTCGCATATCTATTTTTAGCTGTACAATACTGATGTGCCAAAGATTTTAGTTTCTAGCTTTATTTTAAAAATGCAGCACAGTATTTATTGCTTTGATGGACTCTGCAGATGTAGTTCGAACTTTTTGAACGACAGTAGTGTACTGTAAATTTTATTTAATACCGAATTTTTTTACTCGATTTCCGAGCAGCCAGGACGCACGCACATCTGGGGTGCGCTTGCACGTCACCCAGTGAAACGCTGCACACGCTGAAAAACTCTTTACAACTCTTTCAAGCAGGTGTCGCTCACGTCGGCCGAAAATGCCCTGACTGGTCATGGATTGAATGGTTCGGACGTTCAAAGGTGCAATTGCTGTACACACTTTGCACCCAGTTCCTCTTCACCACCATCTGCGCATTGGTAATCGCCCTAGCTTTCATCCGCGATTCAGAATCGGAATCGAAAACATTATCCACCGACCAGTTCGTACTCCAATTCAATATCTTGGTGATGATGCTGGGTTCTG